GTCCTTCTAGATACATCACACAACTTATCAAATATTACAAAGGTTTTACAAAAGACACAGAGCTAAATAAACACGAGAACATCCAAAGAGCAGTCCAAGAAGCCCTTTCAGGCAAACTTCTACAACTACCTAGTCACCCAGATAACATTTCTGAAAACATACAACAAATGTTACCTTTTACCTTACCTATAAAAAACAAAGCCCACACCAAAGCAGTAGTCACAGCACTTCATCGCATTTACCAATTTGATCAGCTACCTGAAGAATACTTTGCAAACTTGGACCCTCTTCCAACAAATCTGGCCAATCTTCACCCTGCAGTAAGAGATCTATTCTCAATTACTGATAGAAAATTCCTTAGAGACCTAGGCGAATACAAAAGAAAACTTAGCCAATATTATGAAGTCAAAACAATCACATCCAACTACTTTGACTTGCCACCACCAAAGACTCACCTGCCCCTAGCATATCAAGATCTTAGTCCTAAACATAGAAGCTACTTCTCACTTGATCCAAATGACTGCCATGGCAACTCTCAAAGAATTATTGAAGCATTACGAGAAGAATACACCTTCAAAAACTTACCTAATAATTACTACCAAGCAAAACTTCCTCTCTCCAAGAATCCAAACAAGATCAAAACTATGAAGACTTATACGTTCCCAATTGAAGACAAGCAGGATGCCATGGAATTCATTCTGGACATCGAATAGAACTACAAAGTCAATCTTCTACTATCTCCTGAAATAATGACAGCTAATCCTACTGAAAAGCCCGAACTTTCTGAAGACTTAGAGCAAATTACAGACTACAGTATTTTAACACCTATCACTTCAACAAAAACCCTAACTAAGGTAGCCAAATTTCTGAGAGAGTCCTACTACTTCTACCGTATTCCTGACTCCTAGATACAAATTCACACTGACACTATGGAAGAAACCAACTTGACAAACACCCCACCACAAAACTAACAATACCAAACGGGCTAGATGAGATCCTTAATTACTTAAAAAATAATGATATCAACACAACACAACTAACCCTTCCTATCACAGACCAAAAGGCTGCCTCTGAAACCTCAAAATATTACATCAACATTTCACAGTCAAATTATACCCAACTCCATCTTAGCACTCCCACCCCTCCCAGAACCTACCTGGGGAATCTTTTCTTAATAACATGACTTCATCTAATAATGCTGAACTTGCTTACCAAGCAACATCACCCCAAACTAACCCTACCACCACAGATACATTAACTGAAAATAATACAACAGAACATGAATACGACGCTGCTCGTCCTATATACGACAAAATAACAATCACTACACACAATGTACAAGGGCTAAACACAAGGCTCAAAACACAGCTATGGCTTGAATTCTGCAATACACACCAGTTCCATATAATAAGTATGACTGAAACAAAGCTACCTGCATCTACATATACTAACCTACAAACTAGCAACCCTTTTTACTATATATATACCGCAAACTGTGATATTCTAACAGCAAAAACCCAGAAAGCAAGCATGGGTACAGCAATAGCTGTTACAAA